GGAGAGAATGAGCTGGGGAAGGAGTGGGTGGAGAGCATCTTTCCTTCTGACCCTAAGGGCTGGAATTCCCCTCAACCAGGTGATCCTCTTCTTAAGGGGCCACAGAAGCTTATGGGAACAAGGACCAGCAGCTCCAGCAGCACCAGGCCTGCTTCCTATGTGATGGGCAGCAGCTGGGTTTTCCCTGACTTGATGTCCCTGGATCCCACCCAGGTTCTGGCGGGCCATCAGCACCCCATATGTGTTTGGTAAACAAAACCGAATTTCCAGCTGTCATTATAAGGCTGTGTAAGAGGCAACAGAATTTCAGTTCAGATGCCTCAGGGGCACAGTCTTTGTCTTAGAAGCTAGTTTGACTTAAACTAGACAAATAATAAAACCTATTAATGTATTAACCTTGGGCAAACTCCAAGAGATGGTGAGGAACAGGGAGGCCTGGTGTGCTGCAGTTCATGGGGTAGCAAAGAGTCAGCCACGGCTTGGCGACTGAACAACGAACAACAAATTAACCTCAAAATGTGCCCAAGAGACCTAAGAAGTGTTAGGAGGGGCGGACCAATTTTACCAAGTGGTAAAATTTGTTAAATTCATATGTGACCTCTTAGTGAAGTTCCCCATCCCACGAAACAGTCGTCACCCCCATCTTTACAGGGGATGAACCTGGTCCTGTGAGATGGGCAGAGCGACCTGCCCAAGGTGACCCATTAGAAAGCAGCAGATCCAGATGAGAGCATCTAGTGTGGGGCTTGGCCTTAGGAGCTTGAAAAATGTAACAGAAGAGCAAAGGAAAGAACACAATGCGTGACCTTGGACAAGCTCCGTAACCACAACTAGCCTTACAGTTCCTATCTGTAATGTCCTAGTCTGATACTCTTAGCATCTTACCATCCCCAAACTTACCCCTTCTGGACAGCTCAAAGGCTGGTTTGGAAGTAAGAACACTTGCAAAAAGATTAGCCATTTCCTGGAGGGAGCTCATGGTTCCAACCTCCAACTGCTGTTGGTCAGTGTCGTTTATCAGCTACGAAAGGATTTGAGAACACCCTTTCCTACCATTATTTTAACACAGCCTCACTCTGGAGCAGAAGTGCCTCTTACAAATGTGGGGAAAACAGCAGCATTTACTGTTCGTGTTTCTGAAATGTTTCAAGACCAATTATTAACAGGAAAATGTGCAAAGCCTAAAAAGAAAATGTACAAATGCTGCCAGGAGGTATTATTTATTTGTTCTTTCCTTTATTCTTACTTCCCTCCTCTCCATTTCCCAAAGGACAGGAAAAAGAAAAGAAAGATGATCTGATACTTTAATTAAGGAAGAATAAATGGGTCACCCTTGTCGGTTTACAACCTGCAGCCGCATTAAATGGTGTTTCTTTGGTATAAACTCGATTGCCATGGTGAGGCTTTACTGTAGCAGAATAAAGACAAAAGGAGAGCTCCCACAGGACTGACCAAGGTCACTGTGAAAATCAATGCAGCATTAGCGTCAGACCTGGGAATCCTTGACTCTGCTTGCTCTGTCCCGGCTGGTGTCCAGGCTGCCTCCCACCAGGAAACTTTGGCTGGCTGGTAGGTAATTATATGTTCTAATAGTCACTGACACTCCAGCTGCCAACACCACATCCCAAGTTCCCGCATCAGTTAGAATACCAAACTACCAACACTGTTTCTAAGACTGATTACTTATAGCAGTATGTTAAGCTCCAAATGATTCAGAACTAGGAGCCTGCCTAGCAACTTCGAAGATGAACGTCTGGGACAGCAGAGAGACAAGTCAACTTGCAAAGTCCTTCATCTTACACCTCATCTGCCTTACAGTAGCTGTGTGATTTTGGACAAGTCCCATAACTTCAATTAGCCTCAGTGTTCCTATCTGTAAAATGGGACAATAAAGTTTGCCTTGTGGAATTTGGGATGGCACACAGTGAAGACTCAGTGCAAGGCAGGTGTCTAGTACCTGTTGTTGGCTATCTAAATGAACAATACTTCTTTGATCCCATCCCTTGAAAACTGGAGACAATAATTCCTACTTCACATCACACTAAATGTGATTGGAAAATATATGTATAGATATATCTATATGTTGCCCAGACTGAAAAATACTCAAAAACTACAACAACAACAACAACTGGCTGATCATATCAGACTGAATTTAGTCTAGTTGATGGAACTTATCTTACATCTATTATTTAGGAAAAATTTTAACTAAATACTATATTTTAGTTTTCTTTTTGAAAATGATTTCCAAACGTGAGGAAAATTTAGCTGGAACAACCAATTAGCATATTTCCTAGACACAAATCATCATCCTGTGCACAAATGAGTCAAGAACTGAGAGGTAAATGCCTGAAAATAGCTTAGAGATGCAGGTGAGCTGGCTTCCTTTGTTTCCCTGCTCATTGTGTGCATCATGGCCTGGCAGGTGATCACACTCACATCCCGAATGGCAGGGCTGATGCGTCAAACTGGACAAATCCTGAAACTGAAATCCTTGGTGCAACTGTCAGAACACCTGGTCATTAGACTGTGCAGTGAAAGCTCTGTGCTGGGGGAGGGGCCTACAGATGACAGTGGTCCTTGGAGTTCATGTTCAGCCTATGGATTTAGGAAAGGAGAAGAAGCATCTGGAAGAAGGTGATCAGCATCCCCCAAGCAAGCTGACTCCAGATCCAGCTCAGGAGCCAGAAAAATTGGTTATATCTCTGGGTGTCTGGGTTCGATGTTTGACTTCTAACTCTGTCACTTAACATCTGTGTGATGTTAGAAGAGGTACCTAATCTTGTTGGGCCTTGATATCTTTCTCTGTAAAACAGGGAAGCACTATTTTCCCAGTTCAGTTAACAAGAGTGTTTGTTTTGAGGTTCACATGAGAAAATCTTAAGATAAAGCAATACCTAGATATGAACCTCCGTTATTACTACAGCGATAGTAGAAACTTATAATGCTCACTAAAAAGGACCATATCATGAGTACTTACTTCCTTTTAGGCATTGTCAGTGTGGTCCTTTATGTTTGTGATCCTGCTTTGTGCTTGCACCAATATCTGAAGGGGGGTGCTATTATTATGTCCATGTTATAGGTGGGGAAATGAAGGTCCAGAATGGTTAACTAGCTTGCGCAAGGTTGCACAGCTAATTAGCCATGTTGGTGGAATGTGGACTCAGGCAGCCGGACTCAGGAGCCCAGGTGCCTACCCTTTAGGCTGTGAGGTTTCCTGAGAGCATGACAGACAAGAAGTACTTTGTCAGCAAGATTTAAGGAGTATTCTACTTTCCCCGCCACCCAGCGGCCTCAGGTTTGCTTCAAGGAGGAGAGCTGGAGTCTCAAGGTCATCCCAGCCCAGAGCTGGGGACGGTGAGCAGGGGCAGCTGGAGTGAGCCTGCAGGTAGGGTGCCACACCCACGAAACAGGAGGCAGGAGGCAGGAGAGTCTCTCAGGCACAGGATGGGCTTCAGAGCAAGAGTCACAAGGATCGCATCCCTGACATCTACACTGATAAGCTGTCCCACCAACAACTTCCCAATCTGTAAAATGGGAAGTTTACACTACCCTCAGGAGGCTGCTTCAGGAATCAGAGTAATGAATGCAAAGCTCCTACTGCAATTAATATGCGCCACACAGTGGGTGTTCAGTAAATGGCTGCTCCCGTGTGTCTCTCTCCGAGACCTATTGTTATTCTAGGTGACAAAGTGTAAGGGATGGTGGCATTGACAGATTCTGTCTAGACAGAAACCTCCTGAGGAGAGTACAAATCAGGGGTTAGAACTATGGGGTCTGGGGGTATGGGCTGCCTGAATCCACATTCTGGCTCCGCCACTTGCAAATCTTGTGACCTTATGCATGTTACTTAATCTATCTGTGCCTCAGTTTCCTTGTCTGTAAAGTGGGCATAATAATAATACCCATTTCATTCAATATTAATTAGTCTGTGTAAAGCAGTTATGACAATGCTCACTTTGTGGTAAGCTTTCAATAAACGCTTGCTGACTCCCATCAGGGCCCTGCATGTCCCTGGGTGGTGGGGCAGCCATGAGCCTTCAGTGGGCTATGCTTTTTTCTGCAAACCCGCCCCTTCCTTGACGACTTCCAATCAGATCCTGGAAGGGTGGAAATCTCTGAATCCAGGCCACGTGGCAGGCTACACTCACCTGGTGGGCAATGGGGATTTGAAAATGGTGTCCATGACACCTAGACAACAGACCTGGGAGTCGGGAAAGCACATACACTCATGCACACACACCTATGTCTGAGTTTCTGTATTGTCTGCATTTACAGCCAGGTTTTGACTCAACTGAGTGAGTGGTTTCATTTCACCTTGGATAAAAGTGAGTCCCCCCCCCCCCCATGGGGTCCCTGAGTGGTCCATGAATAATTCCCACCTGGATGCAGGAAAGACCTGGATGCAGGTCTGAGAGATGGAAGGAGAGCCAGTTCATTCCATGCAAGTGAAAAAGCACAGGCGCGCTCAGACCCAACCAGAAATTCTACTCTGCACGGTTCAGTTAGAAAACTACAGGGAGACAATAATGTACTTCTAGTAGAGAGAGGGAGAGAGGGAAGAAGAGGGCGGGAGAGGGAGGGAGAGAAGGAGGGGGAAGGGAGAGAAGGAGGGGGAAGGAAGAGGCGGAGAGAAGAGGGGCAGGATGAGAGGGAGAGGGAACGGAATAGAAAGAATACGCCTAGAATCAAGATCAAGGCACACGGTATCTTGTAATCGAAGAATCAGGAGCATTCCCACATAGCCTTGCTCCCAGTCCTCCTCCGTCCCTGCAACTCGAGGGACCTGCTTATTGTCAAGCCTGCGTCTCTCCTTTAAACCCGAGGAGCCTCGATCTTCGAGACAGCAAGGCTGCCCGCGCACACCGCCCAGGGCGCAAACCAGCCCGGAGCCCCCGCGCGCTGCGGCCGCGCTCCCTGCACCGGGGACGCGGGCTGGGTGTGCGAGGAAGGGCCCCCTCCCAGAGCCCCGCCGCCCCGGGATCTCCCGCCCGCCGCCCTACCTGAGCTGGCGCGGCTCGCAGTCCACGCCGGGCAGCAGCAGCCGGGCGGCCTGGCGGACGTCGTCGCTGTCCATGGAGAAGCTGCGGCGGTGGCCGGCGTGCGCCACGGCCACCCGGATCCACTCCATCAGCGGCGGCAGCACGAGGAAGGGCCTGCGGCGGGGGAGGGACAGAGACGCGTTAGCGCGGCAGTAGCAGGGGCTGCCCGCTCAGCCCCACCCCTGCTCATCGCAGACTTCCCCACCGCCTCCCTATCACCCGCCTCCCCCTTTTCCCTGGAGACCCTGTCTCTCAATTCAAAGTGAGAGAACCTTTGGAGACATCCGGACCGCACCGGTGACCTCGGGGCAGGATCTCTGGAGTCTTTGGGCCTCAGTTTCCTCATCTGTAAATGGGGGTTTAATGTGGCTGAAAGGATACGACGTGACTCTTCTGTGAGTGTAATCTCCCTCGGCGATCAAAGGAACATTAAGGAGATGACTCACTTAAAGCACCAAGCAGAGGGTCAGGTGCTTAGTAGAGAATCCAATCCACTCCTAGGGTTATCAGGACTTGGGGCTCCCCACGGAGAGCCCAATCTTAAAGTGCCCTCCAGCACTCCCTTCCCACAGCTAGCTGCTTCCTGTCATCCTTCCCAAGTTCTCCCAGGCCTCAGCTCTGCTCAAGCACCAGACTGCCGGCAGACTTCAGCATCTGGGAAGAAGCAGTCTTCTGGGAGAACCTGGAGGGGCAGCCCAGAGCTGCAAGCGGCGTGCGGGGGAGGAGGGGGCGGTGCTCTGGGGCCTTAGCCACACCCCCAAGCTGCGGGAAGTATCGGCTCCCCACTAGCTAGAGGGGTCACAGTAGGGGTCCAACTCTCTGCAACCGAGATCTTGCTTCTGGCTGAACTTTCTAGGTGTAATACATTTGTGCCATCTTCCTGTTCCTGAAAGTGATTATTACAAACTCCATCTTCGTATTAGAACTGAGGACAGGGAGCTTTGGGGAAACCCCGATACCCAAGTCCTATCCCAGGATTCTAATTTAATTTATCTAGGATGAGGCTGGACATTGATAGTTTTTCAAACCTCCCCCAGGTGAACATAACGCGCCTCAGAAGTCTCTGGAGAATTTCTTAAAAATGCAGATTGCTGGGCTCCACCCCCCAGAGTGTCCAATTCAGAAGATCAGGGGAGGTGGCCAAGAATTTGCATTTCTAATGAGTTCTGGGTCTATGCTGAGGCTGATGCTACTAGAGGTGCCTGCGTGCTCAGTCTTGTCTGACTCTTTGAGACTCTAGGGCCTGTAGCTCGCTAGGCTCCCCTGTCCTTGGAATTTCCCAGGCAAGAATACTGGAGTGGGTTGCCATTGCTCACTTCTGGCGATCTTCCTCACCCGGGACAGAACTCCCATTTCCTGTGTCTCCTGCATTGGTAGACCGGATTCTTTACCACCTTGCCATCTGGGAAGCCCTAGAGGGGCACACTCAAAGAGCTTCTGCTCTAAAGTATGGTATAGGGCCTGGGGGTCACCTGGTTTAGTGTGTGTACGTGTAAATGCAGATTTCCTGGCCTTGTCTCCAGTAATGCTGATTGCACAGGGCTCATGAATATAATTTTCATAAGCAGCCCCTATGATATTGATTTAGGTAGACCAGGAGCCACACTTTGAGAAATGCACGGTGCAGATCAAAAAGGTTTCCTATTCATTCATTATGGCTACAACTGGGTTGAGGCACGTGGGGCACATGGGTGTAAAATTTAGGAAGGCCAGATCATGTCAACATGTTCCAGCAGCTTTCTTGCCTCACCCTAGCCCTGGAGCTGCTGTTCAATCCAGCGTGGCTGCCATGGGTGGGAGAAGAAAGTGGTAAGTAAAGGGTTTATTTACCCAAGTCAGCAGCCCCCCTCACTGTATGCAGGTGTCTCCCCATTCTGGTGGCAGGTTCCAGTTTTTCTAGAATGCTTTCTGTTTATCCAATGTTAAGATTTAACAGTTACATTCATCTCAGTTAATCCCATTCATGATCTCAGCTAAATGCTTAGGACAACCTACAAGCTAGTTATGATTATGCCTATTTTCTAGATCAGGAGAATAAAGTGTACTGAGGTTAAGTAACATGCCCTGGCTCACAAGGTTGGTAAATGTGAGAGCTGGGAATCAGACCCAAGACATTTGACTTCACAGCCCATGTGCAGTAACCCCATGTGGTACTTGTCCAACTTCCCAGCATGTACCTGTTACCCCAAGGGGGCCCATCTGGTCATGGACCTTCGATAGCAGGTTGTTTCATTCCTTCTCACTCAGCTCTGTTCTCTAAGGTTTCCAATCCTTTGAAAACCCACACCTTACTTAACCTTCCAACCACTATTCAAACCCCACCTCTCCCTAAACATTTCTCCTGGGACTCCTCCCGACACGGACCCTTCCCGCAGTGGCCGCCACCCCAGCGGCCTGACCTAGCAGCCTTGCAGATGCTGCCCGAGAAGGTGAACTCCATGAGACAGGGGCCTGGGACTGCTGGATTCACCGACCCAGCCCATCCCCAGTCCCAGGACGGTGCCTGGCAGGCTGTGAGCACCTAATAAATAATGTGCTCATGAAACGGACTAAGATTTATCAATTCCTCACTGGGCAAAACAGATGAAATCAAGTCTCTGAACCTGTGGACCTGTGGGGCAGGTTCCCAGGGAGTTTCTGCCTGGATCAGCCAGCTGCTTAGACTGTCGTCCTCATTCTCCCATTCTCTCCATCACCTAAACCGAATCAGGCACTCAATAAACACACACTGACTTGAAACTGAATTGGATTCTACAGTCTCAGGTGAGCAGAACTTATTTTCGTCACCATGACTCCATCACCGCTGAAACCAAACCAGGATGCCCTTCTGCGCTCTTTTCTCGGGGGCGGCACCCCAACTCCTGGCCTGCCTCTCCTTTGCTCGGGCCCAGTCCCTCAAGCACAGCCCACAGCTCCCAACACCTCAGGGTCCTCTGTAGCACTGCACTTCGGCAGCTGTCTTTCACGCTAGACGCTGAGGCCTGGGGCACACAGTCAACTCCCAATGGACACAGAAGAGGAGAGAAAGACGCCCTACTGCCTTCGAGATAACACTTCTACCAAGACAGGCGGCGAGCATTCAAGTAAGAAACCTTGAACCCCAGATTCCACCGCCTCAGGAATTTTCTATGGACTTGTTCTCCCCTTTCAACATTGCCTTCTTTTCGTCACTCTGACCTCAATAGTTTATAAGCTCATGAATTCTTTGCCAGCAACTCATTTAAAAATCTTCTTATCTTGTCTACTCAGAGGGAAAGAAAAATAGCATTATTTGTGAAGTTTCTTTTGGAGGAGGTTGGAGGTGGGAAAGAATGCTAGGGTCTTGAGTTAAGGAGAGGGTGGAGAATGCTAAGAGGGGAAAAGACTGCATTCTCCTGATACATTTTTTAAGAGAACACTTTGTTGGTGAAGTGTGTAGTGACTAAAACCTAGAGGAGGCCCAAGGAACTCATGGTTTAGTGAAGCAGATTCAGCCTAAGAACCAAGGCCCAGTGTGGGAGGTGGGTAGGGAGGGGCTGGTAGATGGATGGGTAGGGTGTGGGGGGTGGGAGGGTAGCAAGGAGTGTGTGAAAATTGCCAAGGCTCTGATTTCACCCCCAGAGTTTTGGTTCAGTAGGTCTTGGGTGGGGCCTGGGCATCTGCATTTTAAATAAAATCCCCTGGGAATTCAAGAGCAACCCAGATCTAATAACCTCTGACTACGTGGCCTGAGGTGAACAGAGGGGTGGGGGAACACAATCAATTCAAATAGGGCAGTGCCATTAAAATTGTCATTATGGCCTTAAAATACTGAAAACTGAGTTACCTACCATATGATCCATTGATCCCACTCCTGGGCATAAATAATAACAAAATGCCAATTCAAAAAAGATACATACATCCCAGTGTTCATAGCAGCCCTACTTACAACAGTTAAGAAATGAAAGCAACCTAAATATCTGTTGACAGATAAATAGATAAAGAAGATGGTGATGGAATATTACTAAGCCATGAAAAAGAATGCAATATTGTCATTTGCTGCAACATAGATAGACCTAGAGATTATCATACTAAGTGAAGTAAGTCAGATAGAGGAAGACAAATATTAATATGCTCTTCTCTATATGTGGAACTTAAAAAATTATACAAATGAACTTGTTTACAAAACAGAAACAGATTCACAGTCGTAGAAAACAAAGTAATGGCTACCAAAGGGGAAAGGCAGAGAGGGATAAATTAGGGGTTTAGGATTAAAATGGTCTTCCCAGGTGACGCTAGTGGTAAAGAGCCTGCCTGCCAATGCAGGAGACATAAGAGATGGGAGTTTGATGCCTGGGTCACGAAGAGTCCCTGGAAGAGGGCATGGCACCCACTCCAGGATTCTTGCCTGGAGAATCCTGTGAACAGAGGAGCCTGGCAGCCTACAATTACACCCTACTATATACAAAACAGATAGCCAACAAGGTCCTACTGTATGGCACAGGGAACTATACACAATATGTTGTTGTAGACTGTAGTGTGCCTGGAACTGGCACAACACTGTAAATCAACTACACTTCAATAAAATTAAAAAAGCAAATCCTAAAAATCATTTAGGGTGCACCCATATTGCAGGTATGCTTCCAGGGGCTGGAGATAGAGTGGCGAGCAAGACACATCTATGTTCTCATAGAGCTAACAGTCTAACAGGAAGACAGACATATAAGAAACCCGTAAACCAACCAAGTAATAAAGCAATTGCAAACTGTGATTGGTGCCAGGTTGATGAGATAAAGAATAAACAGGTTGAGGTGGGGTGGTGGGAAGGCCTCTCTGAAGAGGAGTCAAAACCTCAACTATGTGAAGGAACTGACCCTATGCGAATGTGTAGACAGATGGGTATTTTAGAGAGCAGTAACAGGCTGCGCAAAGGCCCCAAGGCAGAAAAGACCGTTACAGCTCAACCAAGGGGCCTTCACATGAATCATGTCCTATTTGGCCCTCCAGGACAGATGCAGTGGCCAGGACACATGTGAGGCAGAATCACTGTGGATAATGGCCTTCAAAGATATCAGGTCATATTCCCACAAACCTGTGAATACTGATAGCACAAGGAAGTCCGAAGATGTGGTCCAGTTAGGGAACTTGAGAAGATCAGCCTGGATATCCGGGTAGGTCCTAAATACAATTGCATGGGTCCTTAGAAGAGGGAAATAGGGAGACTCAGTACAGGTGATACTGAAGCAAGATGCTCTGCTGTTGGGTTGAGATGAAAGGAACCACAAGCCAAGGAATGCAAGGAATGCAGCTTTAGAAGCCGGAAAAGGTGAGCAAATGGAGTCTTCCCTCAGAGATTCCAGAAGATAGCAGACCTGCTGACAATTTGGTTTTGGCCAGTGAAATTGATTTTGGACTACTGACCTCTAGAACTGTGAGAATGAGTATGTATTGTTTTAACCCACCAGGTTTGTGGTAATTTGTCCCAGCAGTCCCAGGAGACTAAGCCAGGGTATTGACAGGGTAACTGCAGGTGAGTTTGGAGACCAGAGGGTGGAGAATGTGAACCAAATATTAAAGCTGGGAGGGTGTCCAGAGGGCTCTGGAATCATCTCAGAGGTCTGAACTGCCTTGTTCCTGAGGTCAGAGCAGTTCTTGTTGATATGGGCTGAATTATATCAGCCCCAA